ACTGACCCCACTCTGTAGGCCTGATAGGGAAGCGTTCTTGGATAATCCTTCCCTCGCCCTCTAAAAAAAAAAAAATCAGTTTGCAAGTGTGCAAGAGGCCCCTCCTCCTGAAAAGCAGCTATTTTAACTCCAGTATCAACAGCCAGATGCCCTAAGTGAAAAACCAATTTAAATAATGATGTCTCAAGTCACAAAAAAACTCATCTGGAACTTGCTGTAAAGGCATTTTTGTTCTGGGCAGACAGCGGCCCACAACACTCAATGAAACTTGAATTGTAAAAGCTGGCCCCCTCCCCTGCCCATGGCTCCCCGCTGGAGGGCCACACAAGGAACTGCAACAGGCTCAGCCTGCTATGGAAAGGCAGCGCGTGGCCATCCGCTGGCCCCCCCAGGGCTGCGCACAGCACAGCGCCAGGCCCAGGGCAGGCTCTCCAAACTCCGCCCGGGGTTGCCACAAAGGGGAAGAGAACTCAGCAATCAACCACTCCCTTGCCACTGTCCGTGATGAAAACAATCAACAACCACAGGGCTCTCCGTCCCTGGCCGTTTTTCTCCAAGCACTTAACTCCCAGCTGTCCTAGAAACTTTCTTCATTTCATGTCACCTTCCCCCTTGCTAGAACACGCGCTGCACAGGCCGGGCTTGCAGGCTTCTGTCACTGCCACGCGCCCAGCACTGGCACGCCAGAGACACTGTTAAAGGGAGGCGTGAATTCACGCCACTCCGTCTACCACCTCGCCCAGCGCGCACGCGTCCTGCGCTTCTCTCCACTTCACCCGAGAACAGAACCGGGCAGACCGGCACTGGGGGCAGGCACTGTGGGGGCCTTGGGGCAGGGAGCAAGGCTCGCTCATGCTCCATCGGGACACGGCAGCTCTGCGGGTGAGAAGCTGTCCTAGCGGAACGTGCTGCCCAAGGAGGCCTCCAACCCACCGGTGGCCACAAAAACTCCCCAAACTGTGAGCCACCTGGAACTGCACTTTTAAAGCTAACTCCCGTGCTTCCTGCTGGTGTCAGGCCCCAGACCTACAGACCACCTCAACTTATCGTCACCGGTAACACCAGAGGTTCTGATGAGGACTGAACACCTTTCACTTTCCTCATGAAGCCAATTTTAAAACAGCTGATTGATTTAAGTCAAGCTGTTTGGGGGCAGCCTGACTAGCAACCTGTTAATAAAAAGTATTTTACGTTTCTCTTGGTAACTCTGATTATGTGACAGTTTGAAATACTCTACCACATTTAATTAACTAATTAATCATTTAATTAACTAATTGTCACTGTGGCTAATAGCTTAAATTCATGAAACTGTCACACCACCCCGATTTCAAGCCAGAAGGCACTGATAACTCTAATTGATGGAACAGGAACCCTAGTGAAAAGTTATCTTTCCACACAGAACAATAAACAAAAATCCTGTATTGACTAAGTTATTAAGTGCTCCGACCTGCTGGCAGTGCCGGTTCCCTGGGTTTACTCACACACGGGTTGTGAACATGAAGGACATTATCTGCAAAGTCAATGTTTAAGCACCTGGCTGGCTGGGAAAGGGGGCAGGGTGAGCCAGACATGCCCTGCCCTCCCCCACACACTTCGGAAAGCTGAAACAAGCTGTCTGTGATGAAACTGACAGAGCTACCACCCCACACCAGAAACTCCAGGGGAGCATCTGACAGGTACAAGAAAGCGGGGTTCATCGGAGGATGCTTCTTGCAGCTGCCAAGGAGGCACCGTTGCCAGTCAGTTCACAAGAGGGTGCAAAGACTCAGGTGGTACCAATCACTTCTTAACCCGGAGAGGCAAGGGCCGGCGGCAAGGCCAGTGGGCGCACACTGTGTGGGCACGTTCCCACCGGAAGCGAACCGAGGCGGGAGGCTCAGCTATCGCTCAGGTGTGCCGGCTGCACACAGGGGAGAGAAGCGGCAGCTCCGAGGCAGTCACAGAAAAGCCTAAGACAGATAACCCAGCAGGGGGTGCCGCAGGAACCCACCACCTCCTGCCAGGGGGCACCTAGCTGAAACCCGAATAAAGCTCTGCCCAGAGGGACTTGACCAGCTCCCAGGGCAGAAAATTCACCCAGCACCTGGGGGAGGCAGTTGGCGACAACATAGCCTGAAGGGGCCTTGCTTCACTCCTGGTTCTCAAATATTCCCACAGGAGAAAGAAAAAGGAAACCAGTCTCCACCACCACAAGCCATCCACACCTAGCCTTACAGCTAGAGCGCTGAGGAGACCATCCAAGGCCTTCTGACTTACTGGAGTCAAGGAGGATTTCTCCTAAGTCTTCTCGGGCACAGAACTGTTCCCATGTAAAGCAGAGAAAACCATTTCCATAGTTGCTCTTGTGCAACAGAGAGCAAAACAACACAAAAGAAAGAGAATGAAAGGAACCAAGGCCAGATATACTCTGGAAACAGAATGATTTCAGATCCCATGAAAACTGTGGATGACACAGTTCAGCCTTTAAAGAAATGAAAGGAGTCAGGGGACAATGGGGTGAGAGAAAAGGCCAAGGAGAGGTAGGGAGATTAAAAAAATCAAACCACAGCAGAAGTGAAGCCACCTTGTAAGTATCAAGGCCTAAAATCCACACTACAGGAAACTGAGTCAGTGAGTCGAGAGGGTAAGACCTGAGAAACAAATCACACCACGTCCAGAGCGGAAGAGAGACGGGAGGAAGGGGATTGACGGTACATACGAAGGGCACAGAGCTAGCCAGGACTCACTGCTGAGGATGAGAACGGACAAAATTGTTAGGAAATGCAGTGAGGCCTGATGTCAGTATCGATTGCTCATTCCTACCAGAACAAGCCAACAGGTGGCTGGTCAACTCTGACATACACACACGTAAAGTTACTGAATTTCAGGGAAAAACAACAAATCACAAGAACCCAGGGCAAAAGGGGTAGAAAACCTCTCTGGAGTCGATCCTCTCAGCACCACCTGACATCAGAAGATGATCTGGTGATGTCTCCAAAGAACTGAGGGAGAAAGGATGTGATCCTGGACTCTGAGAGCCAGTCACGCTGTCATCCATAAGGAATGGCAACAGATGTACTCTTGTACACAGGGAAGAAAACCCAAGGGAAACTGACCCGGTCCAAGACCAAAACATTAACTCTGGAATGCAGTCACTGTATGAAAGAGTTGGCAGTGAGCACTGAATTCATTCCAACACAGAATTAAGTCTAAAGAACTCTAGTAATTACCTATAGCTATACACTTTAACTTGCCTGTCTTTCTAGGTAAAAGCCACCAAATCTATTCAATTATCTTCTCTAACGAACTATGCCAAAATGAAAACACACAAAAGAACCTCTCCCGAGAATGTGCACTATAGAAAAAGTTTGGTTTGTATCTTACCCTTGAGGGTTAACAAACCCAAGGAATTCTTGAACAGTGATACTGCTTATTACCTGGTCATGGTTGCGCAGAGGGGCCTAGAACAAGATCAGCCACTCACACCATGGCTCTTCCACTCACTCACCACAGGCTCTTGGCAAACCACGGAACGGCTTTGGGACTTACGTGAAAAAGATAGCCCCTGCAAGGTCCACCGCATGGCACTGTAAGGATTGGAGGAGAGGCTGTATGAGAAGCTTCTTTGGAACTTATAAGCAAGATCATAAAACTCTTGTTCCCTGACTAGAGGGAAAGAACCCACTGTTTTAAAGGAGCCAAAATCGGATAGTCCAGGATGAAGGGTGGGATGGCTCCTGTAGGTGCAATCCTACTTCCCTTCATTTCACTACATTTTGAAGTCATTTCTTAGCACTATGGAAAAGGAAGCTCCGCAGCACCCCTCTGTCCACCCGCGCCGAGGCAGCTGCTCCTCGTAAAACGAATACTTGGGACCATTAAATGTTGAGGATGCGAGATGTTCTGAAAACTCTTCTTGTAGTTCTGGGAGGCAAGTGAAAGTCTTAATGTAGACAGCAAAGACAGGAAAGGCTAGATGGTACTGGGCTAGGTAGGCATGAGGAAGCCAGAGAGCGTATGACTAAAGGAATTCAATTAAGACATTAAACTACTGAAAGAAATCGTTACTTCTGAGAAAGACTGTTAAGGGGAGACTGTGATGGATTTGTCCCCACCTTAGTATCTGTCTTCAACCTGTCTGGTCCTGTACCTGTCTGACTGCGGTACGGGACCAGCACTCGGCAGGCTTCCTCACCCACAGTGAAAACACAGGTGCACAGGAGCTTCCTGAAGGCCACCTCCTCTTCACACGGCAGGTCACGCTTGGAAGTGGCTGAGGCTTATTGCTGCACATGGAAGACTTAGTAAGATACCATGCACTACCTAGTGTTTACAAGCCAGCTGGGTTCTCTGCCTTTCCATAAAGGACCATTATTGCTACGTTTTTTTTTTTTTTTTCACCACAAGGAAATAATCCTATGGAACTATCCAATCTCCAAGACACTGACTTGGCCTCCAGGGACCCCTTCTCATCACCCTTATTTTGAAGGACATCGGTCTCGGTCTTTCTGTCACCTGATAATCTGAGTTCTATGAAGGATCCTCATAAGGATGGAAGCGAGAGCTGAGATCCTCCTAAACACGAGGGGCTCCCCACGAGCTCAAGCATCACGCGGGGATGAAAGCCAGTCGGGCTCGGAGCCACGAAGCCGCACACGGCGGGCCGACTGCGCGGGTGCCACTGTGTGGCTGGGACGAGGAACACTTTCCAAGTCACAACTTTAAACTGAGACTGGAAGTTGGGCAGAAAAGGAGAAGTCAAAGTAGACAATGCACGTGACCAAGATCCAGTGAAGAGAAACAGCCTTTGGGGCTAGATGAATTGTGGATTTTCACCCAAACTCTCCTGAATTCCAATTACAAGGGGGAATATAATACGGCTCCACATTCCTCTCCCCACACCCGCCACCAGCTCAAACATCCAACAGAAAGTATGAAAATAGGTGAACAATTCTAAACTCCATTAAAATTCATGTAAATGATGAAGCCGTAGGGTATTTTTCAAAACAAACTAGAAAACATTTTCCCCTTTGGAAATCTATTTTACAGGCAGTAAAGTGCATCACACAGGGATTTCTAGTTCCTTAAAAAACTACAAAGGAATTGAGTATGACAAAGGTACAGTATTAGATTAATAAAATTTTAACCTAAGCATAAAAATTGTACTTCCCAGTCTTTACAAACAAAAATGACCAGACAGCAGTTTTTTCACTTAAGATCTTTGCAACAAAACACTTCAGGGAATAATTCCAAGACAACTTTTGGAATGCTTTAATCAACAGAATGGAAATATATGAAAGAATTTCCAAATAAAATCAATGCACCAAAAAAGTAAAATCTAACACAAAAGTACCCAACCTCACAATGAGAATACATTCAGATGGAAGAAAGCCAAGTCTTAGAGAGCGAGGAGAGAGGCAGGAGAGAGGAAGGGCCCTCAAAGGCTTGGTCAGACTGACTCGCTGGGGTCTTCATTTTCCCGGTTCCTCAGGCCTTCATCGGTGGCTTGGGACAAACATGGCATTTAATCACAAAGAGCAACTGCATTAGAGCATGGAAGGCCCTCAGGATCCTGGGAAAATTGGAGACACTCAACTCTATGCTAACAAGGAGGGACGTAAGAGGACACGAGAGTCCTACGAGCCTCTGTATTCTGCGCTGACAGGTGCCAACTAAACCACAATGCACTAAGAGTAGTTGTTACTGTGGTGGAACGTCTGGAGCAGTGACAGGAAATTTCTGTGGAAATGGTCCAGCTGGTATACAGAAAATGCACATTCAAGCATTGAATAACTATGGTGCCACACTCAGAGTTGGTGGAGGACAGGAATCTCTCTGGTTGGCTTTGGAAGACAATCTTGCATCCCAGAGAGAGCCGAAGCATCCGTTCACTACAAAGTTCTATTAGTCTTGATCTTGTCTCTACAAAGGAAATAACAGAAATAGCCATGGTGAGATTATGAGCACATTCTCTATTTTAACCAAGACTTGCTCAAAGCATTGATATAGTGACAATCCACAAATTCTTGCCTTTTCTCTCAGAATTATTCTCTTCCGGTCACTATGGAAAAACAATTACCATTTGATTACTTATAGAGTCTATATTAAAACAATTCTTTACTCTTAGCTAGGAACATTAGAAATGAGGAATGCCTGCTAAGGGGTATAGTTCTGGTTCAAAATTAGGAGTGTTCGAAATAAGGCAGTGGTGAGGTCTCTACCCCTCTGTCTATACTGAAAACCACTTAATTGCACTCTTTGAGAGGGAGACTTTTATGTGTATGTTGTATTTCAATAAAGATGTTATTAAAAATCCAATCAGAGGATTTTCTTAAGAACTTCTCATTCACCTAGTGAATTTACCGTATTACTAAATACTTTTTGCAAGATCACCAATTAACCTATTTGTATAGTTTTACAATTTTAAATGTCAGACTAATCATTTTAGAAATTTAAAAATTATTTTCTGCTAAAATGTATTTGTCTAATACTGTATTAGAAATGAGTATGTATATTTAACTAGTACACAAACCACTGAACTATTTAGAGTTTTTAAATTACCTTTCAGGCCATATTCAGTTAAAGCCATCTTTTTATCGTCCACATGGACTGTATTTACGAAGACTGTTCTGTGCCTCCAAAAACTGCCCCTTTCCGAGCCACAATTTGAACGGACTGGTCACGCTGACGTCCGACAAGCTACGTCCAGACCAAGACGGAATCAAGCGAAATGGGCCCCCACGTTTTAAGTGGGTGCAGCTCCGCCTTGGCCGCGGACGGCTGCACGTGTCTGCACGTGCACACTCCCACACAGGCACAAACCAAACTCCTTAAATGTCATCATTTGAGGTAAGCGAACAGGCCAGCAATATTGTACACAGGCTCATCATAACTCTGCCATGGAATGAAAGAAATACCTTTTATCTAATTCTTCAGAAAGGATCAACGGTACCTGTCATGGTATAAACTGACAAAGCCATATAAGCTTATTTGCATGCAAATGCCTTTACTTGCATTATGTTGAGTCGAAGTAAGGGGAAACATTTGCACTGCAATGTTCACATTGAATCAGAACGATCGATATGAAGTTAAGGTTTTTAAACAAGACGTACATGTGACACAGCTATGGCCGAAAAGGGGGCCTAGAAAGCTCTGACGTGCGCTCCCAACTCCCAGATTAGCCTCTGGCACCCACTGAAAAGCAACAGGCCTCCTCGGGGGGCTCCTGCTTTAGGACGAGGGCATGGAGGTGCAAGATGAGCCTAGAATATCACCTTAGCCCAGGAAACAGGAAGCGTTCAAGGATTAATCAGCTGGACAGTCTTCACTTGGACGTATGAACCACATTTTGCTTTCCTTGACCGTTTTATTTTTCAGTTTCAACTCATAGAATTTCTCTAAACTTTTTTCTAGTTAATCTATGGACAGCAACAAACTAGAAACTGATTTAACCTTTAAACTAAAAGCCATGGTGGGATAAACTGTATCCACTGCTGTGAACCCCACAGAACAGGGCTCCTGGAAGGGCGTGGCTACGCTAGTTACCCCGATTTTGGATCCCTCCTCTCTGGGAGGAAAAGCTGCTCCATTCTTTCTCTAGGGTCACTTTGGCTGGAAGACTCAACTGTCTGACTCTAGGGGGGAAAATCATATACTTTATAATAGGAGGTAAAATAGTAAATTACTGTTTCACTTTGTATTTTGAAGCATCTCTGGGTTCACTGCTGGGATTGCTCCAATCGTCAGCTTCAGGTGTGGTCTTGTAATGGCGCCATGCAGACTTATTAAAAACTGGAAGTCTCTCAAATGATTCACTTGAAAGAGCCTAATGGAAAAACAAAAGTAGGCAAAGTGTCATTTTCCTCACTTGAAATCCTAACTCACATTGTATAAAATATTTGAAATTTTCCCTTGGGGGCAATTTTATGACAATTACATTTTCATAGAGTACCTTACTTTGATGACTAGGATAAAATAAATGCTCTTTTAAAGAAACAAAATCATTCACTCATTCAAAATCAGTGCCGAAGTGCACATGACCAGAACAAAGCACACATTTATACTGCTCGGAGATACTTAGATATGTGTGCTTAGACCAAGCATGATTATTTACTGGGCAACTGTTTTTCCAAAAGGCCCAGAAAGTCAAGGTTCATATACTAGGCTGAAAAGCGTCAACCCATAAGTGATATCAAATATCACATCATTTAGATGCATTGGCATCTAAGATAAAGTGTCCAGCTACTGGTTTAAATTATACACCGATACACTGAGTTATTACTAAGTAGGAGCCAGTGTTACGAACTGATATAAAAAGATCTCCAGAATATATTAGAAGATTAAACAAAAAGACAGAGTGCTGAAATAGCCATTTGTATGGACAAAAATTAACTCCCCCCCCCCATGTTTATCAATGCAGAATTCATTCTTGGAGGAGCCACAAGAAACTGATACCCAGAATCAGCTAAGGGGAAGAAAAACAGGGGGCTCAAGACTAGGGATGGAGGGATGGAGAAGACTTTTAACTTTTTCCTTTTCCAGCAGCAACATGGACGGAGCTAGAAGGAATTACACTCTGTGAAATAAGCCAAAAGGAAAAAGAAAAATATTGGACGGTTTCACTTATAGAAGAAATACAGGGGAACCAAATTAAGGGATCAGGGGGAAACAGTTATAAAAATTAACAAGCAACTACAAATCAGAGCAATTCTGCGGGACAGGCGAAGAGGGATCCAAACAGGAGGGAAGAGCCAAGGGACTGTGCGAGCTGCAGGTGATTCAGTGGTGGGAATTCTGTGGGGACGGCACCTGGGAGGTGCGAAAATGAACAACGATGTGAATATATATATATATATATATATATATATATATAATTTATATTTAAAAGAATAAAATAAAATTGTATAATGTGTGCTTGAATTACTTAAAAATACTCCAAATATTCTAGGGTTTAGAAATGAATAAAAGTCTGACAGCATGAATGACTGAGAAAATCCATGTTACAGAGAACTGTGCTGTTAGATCTGCCTTATGTAATCAGATTACGGCACTGAATTTTTGTGACTTTGGAAAAGCACACTTTTAAAGCAGAAGATGACAAGACTGGCTCTTTTTTTAAGTTTTTGCTTTTCAATGGATATGTACTTTTTAAAAGTCACAAATTAGGGTTATGGTTCTAACATGAATTATCTTAATTTTTACGACTCCATTTTCATTTTGTTATATCTGAGCGCTAAAACTTAGAGGCGGGATATAACATGGTTTTCAAGTAAAACTGAGCTGAATATAAGAGCTAAAACAGCGCCAGTCTGCACTATTAGAGCGGTAATAGGATGTATAACTTTAGAGTAAGACGGCTCTGTATAAGAGAGGTAAAGTGCAGTACCTTCAAATAAATGACAGCATCAGTACCCACTCCTTCCATTGAATACAGTTTTAGATCACCTTGAAAATACCTAGCATACAGACGAGAAATTGGCAGGCCATAACCAAATCCAGCCTATTGAGAAAAGAAAATTAATACAGTGAGACAAGCACAAATGATAGCACATTGGAGATGAGGTCCATTGGAAAGATTAAATTCTTGATTCAGATTTAAATCAAACCATTGGCTCAACCTTCGCAACGGTGTATGTGTTCACCTATGTCAAACAATCTATTTTCATTCACCCTGGAAAAACACTTCTCATATGTTTGGAAAATAATAGAAAGACTCCAATTTTGGATGAAAGCTTTATAAAAAAGAAAGCATTGTAAAGTAAATTTTTAGCATTTTAAAAGCAAACTTCGAAGCAAGTAGAATTTGATCTGGTAACAAAACTCAGCCACATCTTTTCAAAGTTCCATTATGAGATTTCTTTGCTGTGTGAAGTGAAAATTAAATTGAGTAGCACAGGAGTTCAAATCTACCAGCGCCAAGGCTAACAGAGTGATTTTTTGTAGTAAGTAAACACAAGCAGAAAGGTATAGGCGGTATATACATTTTCAGAGCCCTTTCTGTCTCACTCATGCAGATCCAGAGCAGCTCCTGCCTAAGGTTCTGGCACTGTTATAATATTTTGATATATTACAGTCGATATATTTTGAGAGACAAGAAAATAATTCCAGCACCCTCTTATATCTCTGTTATAGAATTCTGTCAGATAAAAAAAAAAGTAGTAATAAAAAAAAAGAATCCTGTCAGGGACAGACTGTGGGAAAACAAACGGTCTTGGACATTGACAAGAACAGTAAGAACAATTGAGAGTGATTTCAGTAACTCTGGGGTAGAGGGGAAGAGGCTGTACCATCCTCTTTGGCCTCTCTGATAAACTCCATTGAAAAGGCTACAGAGGAGCAGGGTGGGAGAAAACTCACAAGGCAGTCACTGCCTGGGCTTTCAGTTCTGAGAGATCAAAGCTGAAACTCACTGTTTAAGCAACTCTGAACAGTTTACCTAACCTCTCCGGGAGTGTTTTCTCACCTGAAAATTAATTAAAACTTACCTCAGTTACTATAAAATATTAAAGGATATAAGTCTTAGCACCATGCCTAAGACACAGTAAAGCTAAATAAACAAAAGTTGTCGTTACAGCTACCAAAGGGTAGGAACTTTACCCTGCTACGTGGACCTCTGCCATTTTCACTTATCCCTCTCTGAGACATCCCCTCAGCGTGGAGCTGAACTCAAAGGTCCACACGTGGCAGAGCCCACCCAGTCACTTAACGCTTAAGGAGTAAGATTATAGCCAGTAGTGAAGACCAGATAGCTGTAATGGTGACTGAAGTCACCAACACAGAGAAAACAGTAGACTTCCTGAAAGAGGGCCAGGAAATCTGTCTCTTCCATTCCAGCAAGGTCCAGAGCCTGCCCTCAGGTCTATTGGGGAAGGGCCAAGCTCGTCCCAGCCTGATAGAATGCAATTAGGAGGAGACAGGTGAACTCAAGAATCCTGTGGACTGTAGAGGATGGGCCTCTGACTCTAATTTGGTAAGGTTCAGGGAGTTTTCCCAGGGTATCAAAGAATCGACAAGAGCTGGCCAGGTGCACATACCCCCCACCCCCCGCCTCAAAAAAGTGATAATGTCAAGGCAGGAGTTGTAACACAGCAAGCTGTCTAGTGAGGAAGTTATGGATAGCGTATGTATCCATGTGCTTCCTTTAAAGCTGAGGACAGTTTAGAAACAAGGAGAAATGCTAGTGGCCAAAGGGGAGGCCATGCGCCACACTGGGAAGCCACAGACGTGGCCAGGACCAGCTGTGTCATTAGCTCAGTGACCTAGGTCAAAGCACTAAATTCATTCATTTCCTCATCTATGACGTAGGAGGTTGGACACAAAATTTTATTAAGGTCTCTTACTTCAGCTGTTCAGGTTCATAAAAACCTGTGACATAACAGCTGTCTTCGGGATGCTATTTTGAGGCCCGAAAAAAGATAATACATATTCCTTTTAAACAAGGAAAGGTTTTGGATGCGGATGTAGGGATCGTTATTTTTCTTCTGACACTCATTTAAGTAGGTATCATAGTTTGGTGAAGGCAATGAAGCCTTACAAAACTGATCTTGCATGAATTTTCTTGAATCCTATATAAATGACTTCCTCTGTTTCCAACATGCTGAGTTAACAAACTCTGTCTCAAATAACTGATGCAAAGTGTTAGAATTTATTCATACAAATAAAATATAATCTTACATGCTTATCAGTCAGGTAGGACTTTAAAATGAAACTTAATGCATACCCTGAACCATTTTGCAGACTGATAGATATGTTGCTGTGTTTAATGACAAAGGGCTCAATTGTTGTTTGTCAATTAGAAACACTCAGCAGGGGAAGAAAGTGTGGCCCCACCAGGCTCTAAATGCTGCCATGGTAACCAGAGGCTTTTCTCACTGCCTTAATAGGGCTGAAGGTTATTTCCAGAGTGAGACAGAAAGGGCTCTGAAAATGCATACGCCGCCTATATGTTTCCTGCTTATGTTATTTAATACCAAAAAAATGCAATGTGTTCATAAATTTAACCTTTTAATTATATAAACAGATTTGATGGGAGAAGTTCAAAGGCCCGGGTGGCTTGGGCTGTGCAGCGTGTGGCGCCAGAGCGCCCAGGGCCAGGCAGTAGCCAACATGCTGTGCGCCTCTGCTCGCCGCTATTTAGCTTCCGCTCCCTCCAAGGGGAATGCAGGCAGTAAATGGCGCGCTGGCAGCTTTAGCCACAGGGAAATGCTTTTTCTCTGTATTTGGGAATGAGGCACTCAGCTCTGAGTGCTTCTTAGACACAAATTAGACAAGAAATCTAAGTCCAAAGGACAGCAGTGCAAAATTCTCCCTCTGAACCAGGCGGGAAACATCCAGCATCAACAAGGCCAGTGCCACATCCTGGGGACAGAGTCAGCTCTGTCCACGTCCTTTGCGAGTAATGGTCACTTGAAGCAGCATTTGAGACACTCACCAGAGGGGCAGCTCTTGTAGGTTCCAGACTAGGTCTCGGAGCAGTGGAATACATGTAGTTAAAAAGACGATCTATTTTCCGAAGTGGGACCCCACCACCCAGGTCACTTATCTGTAATACACAAAACATTAAAGGAAAAGTCACTCTGTACTTAGTGGGAGGCAGAGTCATTAAACAAAGTCCACAGCAGATTACTCTAGAACACATAGGCCTTTGAACTCCCAACGAAATAAGACACCTTTTATGAAAAGTATACCACAGGCCCGGCAGTGCAGCAGGGTCTGACAGGCTTGGCTCTGAGGTCTTGTTTAGTGCCCTGGGAAAAATGGGGTTCTAATGAGGTTGCATGCGATGACTTAAGCCAACAACCCAAAGCAGGACTTACAAGTGTAAGACACTCAACGTCAGTTTCCTTCCCCTCCCTCTGATTCCTCAATGTTTAGACACTTAAAATAACTGAGAATTAGAGGGCACTTCCAAGTCAAGCAGCTACCTTAATGGACAAGTCTTCTTTACCCAGAGTCACCAGGGTTTTAACAGCCGGGTAGCCCTCTTTTCTGTCTTCGTACAGTTCCACTGTCGCTCTCATCGAGTTCTAAAACAACAGGAGGTTTTCTCAGCCCGCAGCTGACTCACAAACCGCAATACAGAAAGAGAAACTAGTACACGATTACTTAGCTACAGCCATTCTTGTGTGGGGCCAATATTAGTTGAATTTATAAGGTTCTTTTCCTTTTTCCCTCTAAAGAAAATTAGCTAAATGTGTGCTCACATTCAGGAACATTTTCCTGCTGCTTGATTTTGGCTGTCATCTAGTTTTAGCTCCATGCTCCACACTAAATATTTCCCTTTCCTTCCTTTTTACATTTTGTTTTGGCTCTGGGGTATTTAAATGATTCAACTTGTAGCCGAAATGAATGTTCTGATCACACATAACGAGGTTGCAGAGGCTCATGGAAGCACTTAAAATCCTATTTAACAGTCTGCATTTACAGAGCACCTTTCCTCGAAAGAAGGCGGAAAACATGAGCAGATTCACACTTCCTAGCAAAACTAATCATTTGGTTGCAATAAAAGAAAGAAGCAGAAGAAATGTCAGTTATAAAGAAATTCTGAAAAAGTCACAGCTGTTGAAAGTTCACAATTGAATGCCCACCTTAACCTTAGAGAGTTTACATCAGTAACATTATAATTTCTGGAAGCAAATCAGCATAACTGATCTTTCAGGTGTTCAATTCAGGGTTTTACACATTAGAAGAAATGAAATTTTAGCCCAAATGCCTTGTGACCTTTTACACTGCTACTGTAAATGCCATAAGCACTGGTTAACAACAGCAACAGCTTAAACTGTAAAAAGTCCAGTCTTTGTGGGGGGGGGCGCGTGGTTGGGGGGTTGGGGGGCCCTTTTTGCTCCAGCAATTCCACATCTTTCCCCTCTGCCTCTAGGGCCCAGTGGACCATGGTGTCAGATCTTCAGAACTGACTCAAGTACGTAAAAGGGTCACAGTGTCCTCAGGGACCTGAACAACACAGAGAATGTTCGAATGTTCAAAAGCATAAATATGTAAAGCATGGTTTATTTTGATCTGGCTATCGCCAATAAAGTCTGCCAGGTTTGGAAACCAAAAAGCATCTCTAATCTTATAACTGAAGGAAAAAAAAAGTATGGATTTTATATAAAATCACTAAAGTACAATTAAGCTTAAAAATCAATATGTACTAATATTCACAAAAAGTATACTGTACACAACAATTTTTCATCTCACAGTGTACAAATTATAAAGCCCACAGGATATCAGAAATAGAATTTTAAAAGTGGTTATGCAAAACCTTTTTCTTATGCTAATCTAATGAATCCATTATGCCCTGAATCAAAGTAATTTAAAATGAAGACTTCATTCCATGTTTTTAAATTCCACTTACCTTGAACAACTCAAATAGCATGTGAAACAGATGTGAGGGCACATAAACTACCTGAATAGGTTTGTCTGGAGCTTTGGCTGAAAACAGAGAGAAAACCGTCAATGAATATGGAACAAAAACTAGAAGAAAGTCAAGAACATTGTTCTTCGCATTGTATTTTCCAGGTACATAAAACAGTACTCAACCAAAGATTAATTTAGGTTTCCGCCTCTAAAGCCAGGTCTGTGCAAAAGTCAAACCAACCTGAGGTAAAATCCAGTCCCTTCACTTACCACTGTCACCTGTATGACCCTGGCCCATCTGGCTCCCCTCCCAGTCAACTTGCGCTGCTCATCATCAGTACTTTTAATTATTAAGTAATATACACAAGCTGTTTAAATGCTTCTTAGAAGAGAGTGGGAGGCCCCTGCTCCTCCCACCTCACCCCCTAGCCAGAACCCAGAGGAAGCCGCTCACAACTACTTGCTTTAGCCTTCTGGCTGATAAGATTTACATTACCTTCTGGAACCCTAATTACCTCTTCTGTACTTTGCCTAGAGGTTCTTTTCTCTTTCTTACTTGCTATGACTATTTTGTAAGAGAAGGCTAAAAGCCTTCAGTGTGGTTAACACCCTAATCAGATTCATGTGTCACTTGCAAGAGAATGTTCTTGGCGTTCTGGTGAAATCTGTCCTCTTTATCTTCCTCCAACTGCTCCGAATCACACTGCCCTTTTTGGGTGCTGAATATCTGGACTGTGTCTTTTTTTAACAGTTGCATATATACTTTCTGGAATCTCTAAGAAAACCTCCTCTTGGATAACCAGACAAGGAACATCTGCTTCCTTGAGATCTTCCAGCTCTGTTCTACTGCATGATAGCCATTCCATTCTTGATGATTTTTTAAAAATTAGCTTTCCCAATGTGCTACATAACCATCACCTGTCAGTTGTTTTTTATTGAAGCTCTAGGTGCTATTTCTTATGTCCCCATTATACCCAGCACCAAGTCAGTCAGTTGGAAAGCATGCGTGGGAGATCCATGTCTCAACCTTTTTTCTCTGATCCCCTTGACTTTAGGCTTGTCTAGGTAGAGAATTCTGGGTCTGAAGTCATTTTCTCTCAGAATTCAGACAGGGGTCAGGTCTCCTGACAATGATAGTGCAACTGACATGTGTAATGCCAGGTCAGCATGCACACTGCTGGTTTTTCCCTGAGGACTGACACACCTTGGTTGTATACTCTTGTTTAAGAATGAATGACTAGATTAATCATTTGTGGTAGCTGGCATTCTTATCCCCCAGGGGCTTGCCCCTCAAATGGGAAGGCTAACTTTGGAGTTCTGTATTTTTTCATCTGGCTTTAAGATGACTGGACAGTAAGCTGACCTCTGATCAGAAGGTCTTGAAGACAGTACTCTGGGTTTTTATTTTTGCCCCACAGGAAATACTCAAGGCAGACAGGGCACAGCCAGAGGCAAGCTGCACTGATCACCAGTTGAGCCTCTCCCTCGGGACTTCCCATTCCTGCCCTTCACATCTCCTGGCTCTGCTCCCGGGGCCCTCCAGGATAACCTCTGGTAAATCCAGAGCCACTTCTCAGCTTCCTCCTTTGTGGCTTCTGCTGTCCCATCAATCAGTGCTTTCACCTGGTTATTTCCTGGCATGAGGTGGGGGTAGTGGTGCCCGGATGAAAGCCCTAGTCTCCTTGCTATTTTGTTTGGTGTCCCTTTACTGTCACTTTAACAGCAACACAGCACCAGGGGCAAGTTGAATGCTTAGTTTATCTTGTACTGTAAGGTATGATTAGTTATATAAACAGTCCTTTGAATTCAACTGAAAAGTGAAAAACTTCCAATCTCAGGGAAACTAAAATACCTTTGATGGTTCTGTTTTGTTTTTTCAGGTCAACCAACATTTCTAGGAGTCATCTGAAGATTAACTGTATTTTTCTTGGTACACATTAGAGTTTAGGTTTCTTTCTTTCCTTTTCAAACCATGTTAACTATTCTAGTCTGCACCTTTTCTCTAGTCCTGGGTCCAGCGGCATTTATGTAGTGGACCCTTAATAGATGTTGTCAAGCTAAGGGTATATTTTAAAAGTTGATGGAAAAAACTGTCCAGGATTTTCAGTCTCAAGATTCAAGTATTAATAAAGTCTCTACTTTGCTTAGCCATTATGCCAAACACCATTAGCTAAAAACACTTAAAAAATACCTACAGGACTCTACATAGGCTATAAAGAATTTTATTTTCCAATAGATGTCCTATAAAATTGAAAAAATGCAAAGGCTGAGCAGAAAAAAAAAAACACCACACATTTAAGAGAAAAGGCAGCACTTCCAGATGGTTAATCAACTTTCAAAGTCGTGGAATAAAGCTATCACTGACAGGAACATAGTGTGAGTCAAAGTCACCCAGGAATCAAGTCCTGACTGGCATTTATAGTAAGTATGTTAGGTACTAACCCACCTGGGCCTTGGTGCTATATTTCTGAAACTGACAAAGTACACATCTCATTGTGCGCTGATGTAAGGATTAAGTGAGATAATGGTGACAAACTAATTTACAGAGTCTGCCACACAGTAAGCAGTCAATAAATGTTGGCTATTATCATGACAAAAAAATTAGCTTCCACAGTGGGAATAGAGCTACCAGTGATGGGATTTGGATGTGATAAGGAGCCACTTAACTGAAAATATCCAAAGGTATCCAATATGGGGAAATGAGAGGTCAAGGGCCCTCGAGTCGATACATACCCTTTCCAGAACTGTCTTTTAACACAATACACAGTATGAACTGAAACCTTTGTTTCCCACCAAACCCAAAGCTACGAGCCACTCTCTTATCCTGAAAAGACTAATGCGGAAATAGAGAAGAAACACAAATGAGACTGGTAAACACAGTATCCCCTGTGCAGTCCTATTTACTGCTTTCTCTGAGGTTGACATTGGGAAAGGGGAGGAAAGCCAAAAACTTAGAAAAAAAAGATGAAATGTCAAACTAAGAGAACTTAAATTCTCAAGTAGCTACACACGTCGCTTTAGCTGAACGGCAGCATCACCCGCTGACATGCGCGCAGAGAGCAGCACCACTGCTGACATTAAAGGCCCCACTGGGTAATGGCAGCATTCTGAACCCTGCTAGTTCATACAGGTCCTGACTAGGAATCCCTGTGAATCTGGACTGAGACTTACCCCCAGAGAACAGAGAGCACCATCGGGCGGTGGGAGGCAAGGGCTCGCTCATTGCAAAGCAACCACATCTACTTAAGGTGCTCAACTCCAACCTCCAGCCTGCATCTCTAGCACGGAGCTTGTTAAGAGCTAAAGTGCTGTCCTTAGCATGCTCGCAAAGAGCTTTGACATTCAAGAAACTGCAAACATAAATCTGAACACATTACCCGAAACAACAGGGAACTAGATAGAGGCAACTTGTAATCCGGGTATTCACTTATCTTAGTGATGGGAAAGGGGCTTCACAGGTCACACATGAGACAGTGCCCAAAACAGCCATAAAGCTCCTCTCCTGGCAGGGGCACTGCCCAGCGGACCAGCATGGCAGGGAAGGAACGTGCCAACACAGCCGGCAGCCAGGCATCAGCAAGAACAGGCTGGCTGCTCTGGCTTTCAAGGGTCACTGGCTACCGTCTGCAAAAGTTCATGTCTGACCCATACAAATCTGGACAAGGAGGTCAGGCCAGTAGGAAGAAACAGAATGTGTGGATACTCGTAATGAAATACCGAGGCAAAGTCCCCACAGTTCTGGCCATGCATCCATCGAAACAGAGGTGTGACTTTATCAGAGAAACCACAGACCCCGAGCGCAACTCTGACTTCAGATCTTCTAGCCGGATGCAGTGGGGTAAAAGCCCCACAACGGCAGCTTGAATGTTCTGCAGGTTTTAATCTTGTTATAAGAGAAACACATTTCGGGTATATTTTTGAGAGGAAATGTGGTTTGAAATCAATTTCAAATGCCCATACTCGGAGACTCAGTTGTTCCATTCTAGGAATCCACCCAACAAATAATTCCACACATTCATGAACTTCCCTCTCTCAAACCTCTTCATTGCTCATTACACAGAATATGGGAAAATTAGAAGTCCTAAATGGCCACCCACTAGGAGCTGATTAGGAATTATGGTGACCTACACTACAGTGATCTCAAATGACATTCATACAGGCAAAGACCATAAAGATGGAGTACAACACACACATTATAGAACATGTTAAAAAAAAAAATGAAGCTCTTACAGGACTGCGGGTAGTGAGGACGTTCACATTTTAGTCTACCTTTCTGCACTGTTTGTGCTTTAACAATGAGCAATTCTCTTCTGCCATTTAAAAATAAAAAGAGGGCCCTCCCTGGTGGCGCAGCGGGTTAAAGCACAGCATTAAGAAGCTTAAGCCACTTCCGCATGAGTTCGATCCCCGCCTGCCCCGGAGGTGACCACATGGCGCGGTCTCCTGACCCGCCCGCTGCTCCCCTTAGCAGTGTACTTCGTCGATCTGCCTGTTCTGCTCCCCGCTCTGTCTCTGGTGAAGCCTCTCACCGCCCCTGAGCCTCTGGCCTGTACCCCAGTTCTGTATGCACAAATAAATAAATCTTTTTTAAAAATAAAATAAAATAAAATAAAAAGATAAAATATCTGATTAACGAACAGCCCTACTACAGAGCTGTTGTTTGTAGCCAGGTGATCTAAAATCCTTCAAAATATTTACCAAAGAACTTGCATAAACTTTTATAGCCTGTGTTTAGGATTAAAAAAAAACAAACCTCAGCTTTTCCCCACATTAAAATATTCTTTGAAAGCAGTAGTTTGAATGGCTGCATAGTATTCTATGTCATGAGTGCACAACAGTTTATTAACTGACACTCCAACGTAGAAATCCTGGGTTGTTTTCTAATTTTTCTATGTAGAAAACCACTATGATCATCACTCTTACACACCTGATCCCATCTCTGTTTTCTTATATAAAAATTTTCTGAAGTCTAATTTACTGGACCAAAGGATATGACCTAGGATTAATTTAATTTTACTGGGCCTTAGTGTTTTCTGAGGAAGACTAGACCAATATAAACCTACACCAGATGTATAAACGAAAAAAAAATGCGTAAGTGCTGGGGAGAGAGTATTTTCCGGGCACCAAGTCAGAGCACTAAAATGTTTTAAGTATTGCCAATTATAAAAGAGAAAAATGGCGTTCTCTGTGTTTCTGTCTGTACCTCTTTGACTAGCGGAGTTAAACATGTAGTCCTGTGATTGTTGCCATTCGCATGTGTTATTTTGAGAACAAATGCCTATTTATAAAATTAAATTGAATTATAAAGATACACACTGTGCCTTTTCTACCTTGGTTAATTCTGTGCCAAGAACTCTGAGTTCTAGCAGATTATACATTCCTATACAAAAGCTTCTTATACCAATGTACCTAGTTGATCAAAGATACAGACCAAGTTTCAAAAAAAGAGACAAAAGATGAAAAAGCAGCACAATATTAGGATTTCACTGAAATATAGCTCAGATATAATCAGCGCTCTAGTCAGATTCTTTGTATTTAAGGTTAAAATAATTTTTCTTTTACCATTGAATTCTTCAACTTCCAGTTCTGGAGCTACCAGGTAATACTGTTCACACAGCATCTTAGCAGTTTCATATGCATCTGCAGAGAAAGAGAAGGGGTTAGCTGCAGCACAGACAGACAGACAGACAGATCTGACAGACTAAACCAGCAAGGACAATTTCTAACTTGATGGATTTCAGATGAATCAAGCACTGCCTTAAAAAAAAAAAAAAACCACCTTTCATGATTATGACAGAATTTCTATCTCTGTCCTTTTTATTAAAATGTTAATGATTTTAAATTTGCAGTAATGGCAGTATGGCTGGCAGACATTTACTTTTAAAAGTTCCCAAATACTTGCATATAACTTACTATATGTCCATCTACTTACAAGGTCAATAAATATCCCCTGGCTTGATAAATTTTAAATCTGTGGATAATGTACTTTCAAAAATCCCCAACTTTTTGAGGTATAATCATCATGCCGTACAATTCGCCCATTTAAAGTGTACATACAATTCAGTAGTTTTTAGTATAACTGCAGAGTTGTGCATCCACCATGACAGTCAGCTTTGCATTCTCACCACCCCGAAAAGAAACCCCGTAACCATTAGCGCCCACAGGCAACCATGGGCCTACTTTATCTCTGTAGATGTGCTATTCAGGACATTTCACATAAATGGAATTGTACAAAATGTGCTCTTCTGTGTCTGGCTTCCCTCACTTAGCATCATGCTCTCCAGGGTCCTCCAAGTGGTGGCCTGTCTCATCAGCACTTTAGTCCTTTTTATTGTTGAGTAATATTTCATCGCACAGACAGACCAGATTTTGTTTGTCCATTCATCAGATGACAGACATTTAGACTATTTTCACTTTTGAGCTATGATGAAAAATGCTGCTTTGAACATTTGAATCCAAGTTTTTATGTGAACATATGTTTTTATTTCTTGACTATATAGCTAAAACTAGAAAACTACTCGATCATATGGTAACGCTATGTTTAAACCTGTGAGCAAGAGAATTTTCTAAAGTAAGGAGATTTTTTTTTGTTTCATTCTTATAAGAGCAGATTATCAAATTACATTAAAATGTTCATGGCCACACTTGCAACTGGATCTCAACTGGATGTCAGCTATTTGGAGATCTCATACTTCTGCTCCTTACATCTACACTGGCCTAGAATAGAGCGTTAAGATTCAAAGGCAAGAGAAAGAGAGAAGGAAGGAGAATAGTTGCAGAATTTAAATGTATTAAAATTGGACAATGTCAACTTAAAATAGTAAGAAATTAAGATTAGAGCATGTTCAAACTACAGATTTTGGTTTGTTTACCTCATGTTGCCATATCTAAAATTGAAATTTTATATAATGTTCAAATCTAGAATAAAAAAATCTTATTATCTCACTAAAATTTCAGAATTAAATCACTTTAAAGAACCACAAATAGAACCTTAGAATAACTGTGACAGATGAAATAATGAAGGCAACCAAAGGAAATAAAAAGAAATCAGCACGAATACAAACATTACAAGTAGGCACTATGGTGATGGGAATGCCTGATGAGGGACTCCCAAGATTACCTCAATTAAAAATAAATAAAAGTTTTTAAAATTAAACAAAAAAAATTTAAAGGACTGAAATTTAAACCCTTCCCCTCCCAAAATTAAAATTTAGAATTGTATTAAAATTATATTTTTTTCCTAGGGTGTACTTTAAAGTACTTTTACAAAGAGACGTGAAGGCGTAGATTTTTTGCTTTGGCGACACCACGAAACAATACTACATCTCCACCTAGTGACGTGACAGCACAAGCCGCCCAGCAGCTGCCCAGGCCTCTTTACCTAAACCAACAAATACTGAACCGGAAGTGATGCTTCATTATCTGTCCAAAGCCAACATGTCGTGATGAGAGTATGGAGCTCCCTTAATGATGTCCAAACCCAGCTCTTCCATTCACCGTCATAAAGCACACGAGCGCCCCCACTAACTACGCTAGCGGCCCGTGGCTCAGCCTGCTCAGAGAGACCAGAGACACACACGCTGGTCTCTGCCGCTGGCACCTGACAGGGACTCCTAAGACCCTTGTAATAACTAAGTGTAACAGCCCTCGGGCTTCTGCTATTCGAATACCTGCCTTTGACCCCACTCCTGACACGGGGCTCCTAAATTCCTTGCAAGTCCCTAACTGAAAAGGGCACTAGGAGAATCTTTTGTTCTTTTGAGGAGACTCCAGATGGGCTCCTGGATGGGGGCTGGTCCCCAGAAAGACCCCCATGATGAGAAGCTTGGAAATTTCAGCTTCATCTCCAGAGAAGGGAAAAGGGCTGGAAATGGGGCTGATGACTGACAGCTCCTATGTGAAGAAGCCTCCATGAAACCCTGGAAGTATGGGGTTCAAAGAGCTTCCAGGATGGTAACCACATCAGTAGTGGGAAGGAGACACACCCCAACTCTGGCACTCAGGACCTTCCCAGACCTCACTCCAGATTTCTCTATCTGGCTGTTCGTCTGCACCCTTCATCATATCCTTTCATAAACTGTCCAACGTGTTTTTCTGACTCCTAAGAGCCGCTTTAGCAAATTCACTGAACCCAAGGAGGAGGCTGTTCGTTCCAACCTCTGACCCCTAGTGGTGGGGCAGAAGCACAAGTGATGGCAACTGGGGCTTGTGAGTGGCAGCTGACATCCGCATGTGCTGGCAGAGGCAGCCTGGTGGGAGTGAGTGCTTAACCTGTGGGATCAGATGCTACCTCCAGGAAGATAACGTCAGAATTGAATTAAATTGTAAGACAGAGAGAACTCCTTGGGGTGGGAACATGCCTGCCGTGACTCCAGTAACAGGCACCTTGATACACAATGCCCCGGACGCAACACTCACTTACTAAATGAACCGTCCTTGTGCCCAAGAAAGCGCTCTAGGTGCAGTCAGCTATACTGCTGAGGGATGTTTGTTTTGTTTAAACTGGGAACTAGAGGCCTGCCATGGTCCCCAAACCTGGCTATGTGTAGAATTCAATTCTAAGTTAAAAAACAAAACATGACTGGAGATTACACAGCAGCTCTGTGGGGAGGCCTAGGAAGCAGTTTATTTTTAAACTTAGCTTCTGAAGAGAAGCTAGGTTTAGAGGCCACTAGCCCAGAAAGCCATGCTAATTCTGTGAGTGTCTCTCCCAGGATACGAGTGAGCAGAGAATTTTGGGGTGTACACTGCAAACATACTCAAACAGGTGCCTCTTTTTCAGTAAAGTAACAAAAATGAAAGGCTTTAAAATATCACCAATATGGCCCTCCCTGGTGGCGCAGCGGGTTAAAGCACAGCACTGAGAATCTAAAGTCGCTTCCACATGAGTTCGATTCCCGCCTGCCCCGGAGGTGACCACATGGTGTGGCAGACTTCTCCTGACCCACCCGCTGCTCCCCTCAGCAGTGTACTTCCTCGATCTGCCTGTTCTGCTCCCCACTCTGTCTCTGGTGAAGCCTCTCACCGCCCTGAGCCTCTGGCCTGTACCCCAGTTCTGTATGCATAAATAAATAAATCTAAAAAAAAAAAAAAAAAATCACCAATATAACAAAGTTCAATAATTAGCTTAAAAATTCATCTCCTCACGGGTCTATGGTGGTGGCACAGGGGTGATTTGGTGATGGGAAACCTGTGGGGATTACAATTGAGATGAAAAAAAAAATGTGCAAAATGATGTAAAAATAAACTTTTTAATAAAAAAAAATTCATCTCCTTATATAGAGAGCAAAATGCAAGTTCTACTTATACTAAATTTTCTAATAAGACTATTTTATATTTAGGCACCAAAACTTTAAAATATGTTCTTGGGGCCCTCCCTGGTGGCACAACAGGTTAAAGCACAGCACTATGAAACTACTGCAGCCACTGCAGAATGAGTTCGATCCCTGGCCAGGGAGCTGACCCACATGGCACAGCAGACCTCTCCTGTCTCACCCGCTGCTCCCCTCAGCAGTGTACTTCAGTGCATCTGCCTGTTCTGCTCCCCACTCTGTCTCTGGTGAATCCTCTCACCCCTGCACCTCCAGCCTGTACCCCAGTTCTATATGCATAAACAAATCTTTAAAATATATATCTATATTGCTGAAATTACTTTTATCTGCAAGATATCTGAATCACTACCACCAATCTTGGAAAGGAAATATTAAGAAACAGTTATTACTGCCACTGAATATAAGTAATTGTCATTTTTAAAAATCTCTTCTCAAGGGATACAAGGTATTAACTAACAAAATTGAAAGTACAAGCCCAGCCATAAAGAGTAGGGTGGACAGTCACACAGCCCCTAGCTTAACAGATCCAAACTGGCCAGGAGTCAGTCAAACACACACACACACACACACACACAAGAAAATTTAGTAGATTATGGAGGTTTCTAAATTCAGTTTTTTTTTTTTTAAGATTTATTTATGGGGTGATTTGGTGATGGGAAACCCGTGGGGATTACAATTGAGATGGAAAAAAAAATGTGCAAAATGATGTAAAAATAAACTTTTTAATAAAAAAAAAAGATTTATTTATGTATGCATATAGAACTGGTGTACAGGCCAGAGGTACGTGGGTGAGAGGATTCACCAGAGACGGAGCAGGGAGCAGACAGGCAGACTGACAAATTACACTGCTAAAGCGTCTGTGGCTAGCTTGCAGTGCTGAGACCTAACCTGTTGCACCACAAGGGAGGGCCTGAATTCAATTTTTTAAAAGACTTATTTATGCATACAAGAAATGGGGTGTACGGGGTATAGGTGTGAGAGGATTCACCAAAGTCAGAGTGGGGAGCAGAACAGGTATACCTACTGCAATACACTGCTGAGGGGAGCAGGGGGCGAGACAGGAGAGGTCTGGTGTGCCATGTGGATCAACTCCCTGGCTGGGGATCGAACTCAGACCTCAGTGGCTGGCGATAGCTTGACAGTGCTGAAACTTAAACTCCTGGGCCACCAGGGAAGCCGTGAATTGTTTTGTTTTGTTTTTTACTTACTAGATTTCTGCTTTATTAGATAAGAGTACAATTGAGAGACAGTCAAATGGGAGAGGTATTTAAGGCAAGATGTGTTGGAAAGAGTGCAAGGCTCCCATGTCTTCTCTGGGCACACCGCTCTCCCCGAATCTCCACATGCTGACAACTTGGAAGTTCTTCAGATTCCACTAGTGTAAGTTTTTATGGAGATGTCATTGTATTATAGGCAGGACTGATTAAATAAATCAGTGAATTTGGGTTTTTTTTTTCATTGATTTTGTTTTTTAAAGAAGACATTCCTACTAACAATTCACAATGGAACTCTGCTAAAAATTACTAGTCTCTAGAGCAAATATATGCATCATTTGGTTACAAATATTTTATAAAAGCATGGACTAAGATGAACTGGAGTGAGTATCAAAAAAACAAAAATGAAGGCACCGTGCTCCCTAACTTTGAGACTGGAAGGTTCAAGTTGAAGAAACCGCGTCTATAATCAAGCAAATGTAAAGGGCCACAACAGAGTGCAAATCATGATCAAAGCTTCTCAGAAACCCTTTAAGTTGCCAAGTGTTCTGCTAAGGAATGCCTACCGTCATCCTGCTGTCCAAAAGCCAATCCAAGGGGAAAACCCCGGGTTTTCTTCGTAAGCACTAGGGCCTTGTGAGCCTCCGCGCCACAGTCAACTGGAGAAGAGCAGGGAGGAGGAGCCACTGCAAGGGCCACCAGTCTTCAGGCTGCCAGAACCCTAAAGCTTGTGGCCACGGGCAAAAAGATGGGCTGCCCCAATTATGTCAGGTTTGGGGGTACAACTGAGACGGTGAGGTAGGCCGCGGCCAAAGGACACGGCAGGACGTCCGATCCTGAAGGCCTGGCGTGCCCACTACCGCCCCAACCCACCACCTGAAACAAGCTCACCGGTCGACAGACTGAGAGCAAGGTGCCGGCCACGCCTTGCAAGGACGCACAGAAGCAGCCCTGCCTTCTGCTGCCCAGCTCCACTTTTTCTAGCTCTAGCTACGAAGGGCTTCCTGCCTGGGATTGCTAGGGAACTTACTAGATTCTTTGAAAAAAGCTATTGCTTGAGCTAGCGTGAGTGGGTCTTCGTTACGTGCAACCTGTACTGCCCAAAGTGGGAGCCCAAGACATTATTCCTGAGGCAGAATGACACGCTCTAGGGGACACTTGTACCCTGAGCAGTAACAGCACACAGGAGCAACGCAGACGGGCGAGCAGCTGTGGGCGCCGACCTTTCTCCCAAGTATTTAAGTTTGCACCTTTCAAATTATCTTACCACAGGTTTTGCATTTTATTTCCTGGTTTCTTACAAAGAAAGGAAGAAAAAGGGTTACAATAGAAAGCACCTCCCCGGGCATAATAGGAACTTCTTTACAACAAGAATTCTGGCATTCTCTACCACGAGTCTATAATTTGAGCTGTGTAAAGGTAGATATTAATGTGCTAAATAAGCAGCAAGGAGGCATGCTGCAGTGTTCGTTCGACACGGTCAATTAATGTTATGCAGCACACACCCCACTTTCACAAATTTATACCACTGTCTAGTCAAAATTAAAAATATTGTCTCTTCCCTTCTCCATAAAAGTTTTCTGTAGCCTGTCTTAAGAGATCTGAGTACGGAGTCACTGGTACTTAAAGCCTCCCAAGACTATACGCAGTGAACACGGAGGCACATGCACAGGAGCGCACGCGTGCACTCGCAAGCACGCGCACACACACAGGAGTCATTGGGGCTGGACATACCTGACGACACCTAAGCCATTGTAGGCTCTTCAGAGCTGAGGAAATTGGCAGAACTATCATTAAAACCCAAAGTCCCCTACCCCTTTAAGCCAGCTTCTCAAAACAAAAGGAAGGGAAGATGATTCGTGATAGAGACCCCAAGTTAGAAGCTTAACAGAGAAATCGAGAGGATACATAGGCAAGTCCAAAAGTCAGTGGAAAATACCAACTACTCTTAAAAAAAGAAGGGGGTGTTAAGACTTCCCTAAGACCTGCAGGAAACAGACACACCGCTCTTCCTTTCCTTCACAGCTCTTGGGAGGACTGGGAAGAAGAGCAGGGAGGCCTGGGCCCTTTGAGACCTTCTGACTTTGCTCCTGTCGCACTTGGGGTGTAGATATAAGCGCCATCTGGCACGAAGATTTCCAGGCCTTTTGACCTTTGATGTGCTCTGCCTTGTGCGTTTTCTCTCAGTCTTATATTAGAAAAAACTTCTGCTTTGGTATCCTGACACTCAGAGAATTAAGAGGATATGAACTAGAAAGATCCCTGTTAACATGCCCTCTTGCCTGTACAGAAAAGAGGCCTTCAGGTTCCCTGCTTGGATGCATAGCTCCTCTTGCCATGATAAAAAAAAAAAAGTGACCGACTCATGGCCAATGCTCCATTGAAGAATAAAGATGGATACTCTGGGCTGGAAAAACCACCAGTCTAAGTAAGTGTAGTCCCCTAGACTCCAATAGCAACGGTTGCTCTGCTTGACGTGCGCTTGAGAGCTCTACCAAGGAGCCAAGACCCTCTTCCACTGCCTACCCATGCAATACACAGTTCAGAGAAGGTGAAGAGCAACAAAGATCCTTGATGAAGACCGGGGAGAGCTGCAGTGCTGAATACAGGTCAGGCGTGTTTGTGGGGGAGGGACAGGCCCACAGTAGGAGACACAATCTGGGGAAGGGACGGTTTGGGGACGTGAGGCAGCACAGGGTGCCCACTATACAGAAGAAAACTAGAGGTCTGGGAACTGTGCATCACTGCCAACTGGGGAGGCTTCCTACATGCAAAGTGCTGGGCTCTAGGAGCTTAGCGCTCTAGGGCTTCCTGCTACCCTAAGGCTACTGGAACAGTGAGCACTGGAAGAGAGCCAGGTGTTTAAGGAGTCCGTGAAGCTCACCGGCCATGCTGATCTAAAACTCGGTGTGCACATCAGAAAGATGGTGAAATTTTATAAACTTATGAATTCAGCCTAATTTTGTAACAAGGATTTGCCTTCTCTGAAACTTTCAGATAACTAACAATCAAAATTTAGAATCTTAAGATAACAAACACTGATGGTTTCAGAGAGAAAGACAGGCAAAATAGTAATTACTGAAGTCAGGATTCCTGTTTTGAGTATTCTTCAGATGCTTCTTTTCCGAAACTTTCACATCCTATTTGGATCAAGTGGCTTGGCCCAGAGGGGCCTGATGAATCAGAAAACAACTTAGCGACATCACCTGCTAGCCAAGTTGCCTCGATGAAACCATACTCCAGTTGGCAGTGGTGTGGGGTGTGGTGTTCTTACCTTTCACAACATCGGCCACGCTGCAGGTGGGATCAATACTCCCGATGTGTTTAGGATGAGCAGGATTAGTGTCACCGCCAAAGAGAAGTGCTAAACAAAAAAGAGAAGGGAGAAGATTAAAACAATGCAGGCTGAGAGGGCCAAGCAGAGAAACATGGGAGTTTTATAGTTTTGAAAGGATTCTTGAATTTCTAAGAATCATTTTTTGCAGTGACTTAAAGCAACAGAATCCACACAATTGACAGGCGATCAATTTTCTCGGACAGGGGCAAGGGAAGGACATGCTTTAAGACCTGCCGCTTGCAGTCAGTGCGCCCGGAAGCAGTGACACATGCCAGGAGTCCAACCCTTGCTCGAACCCAATGTGACTGCGATGGAAACACTTGCATTTGTCCTCAGCCAAGCTGGCCTACCTCTGTGGTACTGCTCGCTACTCCAGGCAGTGAGCCCAGTGTTCACCTAATATGTCAAAAATGCACTCTGAACCGCAAGGCCAGGTTTGCCGAGGGTCTTAACACTGCAAATGCCTCTGTGGTGGAGATTATTTGTTTATGTTGAATACACAAACAATACTGTCAAGTATTTGTAAAAATGCATTCAAATACTTACACACACAGGTTTTACTTCAACATTTGGCCAACATTTACTTCTGAATGAAAGCCAAAAGGAACCCCAAAGAAAAAAAGTAATCTAGTCCAAATGTTTATATTTGTGTATCTGTTTCTAAATCAAACAAAAACTGGGAATAACTAAGACGACAAGGGGAGAATGATTAAGTAAAGTAGGGCAGATTTTAATTAAGAAAAATGAAAAAGAAAGGCGTTAGACCAATATATAAAGTTCTAAATGATTAAGTGAAGCAAAGAGGTATACAAGTTTAATTGAATATATAACTTTTAAACTGGTAAGATTCGTCTACAAAAAAGGTGAACTAGAAGTCCACTGTGCCAGCCTCACAGTGCTGAGACCCAACCCCTAGCACCACCTAGGAAAAAGTGAACTAGAAAAGAACATTTCTACGGGCAAAAATGCAGGACAGTAAAGTTAAACATGAAGTAACAGAGAAACACTGGGAGAAGTCACCCTGGTCGCCTCCTCAAAGCCGCCCCAGCAAACCGTAACTTACTGTGCTGGTTAATAAGCATGCGGAAAGAGATGCGGTTGGTGTAGAAGCGATCCAGGAAATACTGGATGTTACTGCTGATGAATGGGTCAAACCCGAATTTCTCCTTGTATTCAATCACTCCTTGAGCCATGGTGGGGACCACATCATTGTGTCTATTTCTGACTTTAATCAGAACTTGGAGAAAGCTGTACGGGAGGGAAACAGAAAGTTAGCCGTCTATCTCATGGGCGGAAGGCATACATCATTATCACTACAGGCTGTGAGGAAGTAATCAAGAAGTGTCAGCCAAGTTTTTGCTGGAAACTTTGTACAGAAACTTTCTGCAGAGATACAAAAAGTAAAAGGCTCTAGAAAGGTAAAAATGCTCAAAGACCTTTTAAAAATCCATTGACTTTCTGTATAAGTGATTACACAATCAGGTTCTATAAATGTTGGCTGAATAAATTGCAGAACATATTACTACTTCTTCTGATAACATGAGGACAATCCAAAAATATCTCCAAGGTTTATTATGCAAACTCAAAGCAGTAACTTCCATGAATAAATACCACCAATCTTTTCGACTAAAACTGTAAAATAAATTTCTCACAGCAATAAAATGCAGTGATGGAATATAGATAAGACAAAGGCAATGAAAACAAATCTGGTCCAATATTCTGGTACATTATTATAAACATGTGGAGAGAAAAACATATCAAGAATAGAACCTTAGAACAGAAAGAGCAATGGAACCATATAAAAGCTTGGAACCACGCCCACGATGAGTGAATGCATGTGGACAAAAACTCAGCAGATCGGTAAAGTGGAACGGCAAGCTACCAGAGAAACACACTAGCTAGGACAGCTGGCTAACAATTTAAGTTACAGCCTGATTTCAAGACCAAACTAAGAAATGGGTAAAAGAATGAAACCACAGAGGGGGACAAATCATGTGCCAACTACATAACGTTGGGGTAGGGAAAGTGGTTCTGAGCTTAATACCAAAGGCAGACTCCAGGAAGAAGCAATTATGTGACTATGGAAAACTGCAGCATTTCTGTCAGGACAAACATTATAAAGTACAAAAAAAAAAGTGAAAATGGAAAAATGCATTTGCAACAGTTCTACTTTTAGTAAACGAAAAGATAAACATCCTAACAGAAAAACTAGGCAAGGGGCCTGGTATCAACAGGAAATTTACCACAAAGGAAATGAAAACGCCAATAATTTCACCTTGGTAAATAATTTAAAAAGCAAATTAATACAATGCAATACTATCCTCCACTTATAAAACTGCAAAGAATTAAGTGTCAGCCAGCTCCATTAACAAAACAGCAAGCTGTATACAAAACAGGTTAGAATTTTTTCCCTTCATATTTTCATTTACAATGAAACTTGAGCTAGCCGCTCATGGTTCAAACCAGTTCGAGCAGTAAAGAATGACATGGCAAAGAAAACGGGAAACGTGATGGACAGCGCCAGCTCTGCTCACTGATGTCACTATCCCATCTCGGACAAATCGCCACCCTTCTGTAACCTCAGTTCCTTATTTGTGAATCGAGAGGGCAGGTGAAATGCCTGGAGCTAAGACCACACTCTAGAACACAGTCTTCTCTAGTTCTTTTTATGGAACACCTATCTGGCAGGTGGGCTAGGCTGCTTTGTAGAAATTCCTCAGCACAACAGGCCTGCAGTATGTATTCAGTGTGTTAGTGAAACAGGAAAATGTACAGAGGGGGTGTTTAGTTTCTCTTGGGGGTGGGAGAAGCCACACACAGAGCTAGAGTCAGTGATGTCTGATTAAATGAAAATGAAACCAGAAATATTTTTCATCGGCATGAGATTTAGGGGTTTTGTGCATTTAAGAGCAACAATAGTATTCAGATTACTTGCTGAATAACTGTTATTCTCTTGCACTTCTCCAGAATAAAACCATTGTACCTTTTCTGAGCTCAAAAGCAGGATCAGTGAAAACAATTTTCATGAAGGATTTAGACAGTCATCCATGTGCACAGGCTACTGCATTCTTAAAACTGCCACTAGGTGGAACATTTACTGCGATGTTTACAGGGAGCGCCCTGTTCACCTTGAGTAAAGGTCTGCAGTTACTGATCACGAGTATCGTCTGAAGTGTCACTATTCCTTCCGCACTATGCTAAATTCTTTTTTTTT